GTTATTTAAAGAATTAGGCATACTAACAGTAGTAGATAGGTACGTTTTGGAGATCTGTTGCTATGCGTATAAAAAGAGAGCATCTTTTTTAAAAACTCAAGATAGGTACAATAGCCGTCATAGGACGTTATTGAACCCTGGTCAACATAAGACGGCGCTGTTTCAAAAAATGTGTTATTTCGTGCCTGCCAAATTTTTAACGCTTTACCTTGTAGTATTAAAGAACTCAAGTGCTATCAAAGATTTAAGCAAACACTTAAACTGTTTTTGCCTAAACAGACTAAGTATCACTTACATGAATTCTTCAGAAAAAAAATAAATCTTTCGTGTGTTTTTTTTATTATTTCTATGTATTTTTCCTTGTTTATTTATGTCCAAAAATGTTGTATATTTGCATGTAGATTTTAATGTGTGTTTTACTTTTTAATTTGTAACCATTTGACACATTTTTGAGTATGTGTTGTTAATGTGTACCTATATATACATATTTAATGACCGTACTGGCAAATAATAAATGAAATGAAACTGCATGGATACAAATGGATGCATTTGAGGAGTATTCAAAGGGGGCTGACAGTACGATAGGGCTTGAAATCGGTGAACCCTGCAGGAGTAGAAATACGCCGGAGGTCGAGGTTGATAAGAAGGCAATATGTTAACAAAGGTCCTAACTTCTTATGGCATCTTGATGGGTACGATGGATTAATGGATGTATTATGATGAATTCTTAAGAACCATTTTATGGCTTAAAACAGTCCACACAAATAGTGATCCATGCACCAACACCTGCACCTAAAACATATTTATTGAACAAAACACAACAGAAAAGTTTTTTGTGGAGAGAAATGTATTTTGACTAACATAGTATTTATTCCATGTCACTGTTATGGCGTTGGTTTCCGCCTTCGCACTTTGTCATGATGAACTGTGTTTAAATTAAATTGTTTAAGATACCTTTTTGGTCAATTTTTTCGTTTGTAACGTAGTTGTCCTTACTGATGTTTTAATTCTTATGTTATTTTCCCGTAAGTATTTAAAATTAAATTCGATCACAGTCTTAACCTTAAAATTTCAGCATGCACCTAGTTCTAAGGTTAGATTTGTTTAATACGTAACTACTCGTTCTACCATTTAGGTAACCATAGAATGTTAGCCCTTAATTTTAAAGGTTTGTACTATTATTATTTTATCTCTTTGTTTGTTAAACTAAACTTATAGCCAGAAGATGACGGTAACGTCGAAACTAGTCGCAACTATTTATTCCACAATTGAATCAATAAATTTAGACGCATGGGGAATGGTTTGAGTTTTTAATTCCACCCTAATTTCTTCGATGTCCACCCCATTTTGAGTGCAAGAAAACATGGATACTCTCAATTCATAGTATTTATTTATCGAAAAATTACCTCATAATTACCTCCGACGTCGAACAAAGTTGAAATGAATTTACCTTAATAACTTTGACGTCAAGACGTTAAACGATCTTCGGAAAAGTTAAATCCATCAACATTTTTAAAATTTTCAACCAATAGGAAGACTTTCGGATGGTCGGTTTATTCAGGTGAGTATAAGTACTAATACAGACGTTCTAGTCAGTTTTGTTTGCGCATTGTAAACGTTTTCTAAATTTTCTGCGCTCAAGAGATCACTAAAACGGGCTTCCAAGTTGATTTTCTTTCTTTATGTGCCAGATCCAAGTTTTCAGATGCGTTTTTCAAAACTAGTTGCGTCCATTTCAGAAATTTAGGAAAATAAATCATCCAACAGATTGGATTTTATTTCTGATAGTGTACATGAATCCATAAAACATCTTGAAAATTGACCAGGAAAATATTTGTCACCCTTCCATCGTTTTGCCAAAATTTTGGCAATGGCTGTCCATTTCTCAGTATTAATATAGTGCCTGATTACTCGAACTTTCGAATTTGTTCCTAGGGGATACCTTTCGAAAAACGTTGATCAAAATTGTGAGAGAATATCTCTAATAATTACTCCCCCTATGTCTTCAGCTCTTTCCTGCTCACCGTTAGTTCAATATACAGCTCCAACTTAATTTGATTATCAATTTTCAACGAGATGAACTGAGTGGTTAAGTCGTTCACCACGTCTCCTCTATGTAGAATCATAGTATATATATTCTCAGAAGCAGTTTCCGGTGATGACAGAAACTAACAAACTAAAAGTCAAACACTGATTGTGGATTAGCGATTTCCTCTCCAGGATAGTGGTTGATATACAGCTAAAAGAGTGCATCCTCTTGACGACTCTGTACAGGAATGTTAAAATCAAGGTGTTGTGCATCGAATACAATATCATTAATTGTAATTTAAGATGATAGTTGACTCCCCCGCTACAGAGTCATTCGCGCCCTCAAAAACAAGAAACATAGTTACGGGTTCACTGTCATTTAACGGAACATTTGTGCTAGACTCATTTGAAGAAACTATAGCTCTACTCGGTTTATTTCTTCTTTTTGGTAGGCAAGAAAGTGCAGCGTGTTTGCTAATAGTGAGTATAAAACCTTAAATTACTGATACTCGCTAACTGGAACTTTTGCTCATCGGTGAATTTTTCGACAATTTCCTGACATAATTTTTTTTTTAAATTAAACTACCCATTGCAGGGTCTTTTAATATTATTTACAATCTGATCAGTTGAGTAGATCAATGAGTAATTTTATTCTAACCTACTTGACTACCTTTGATGATTCTTAAATCTAAATCTAAGGTCTTACTCACTAGTTTGCCTCGTGTTCTGATAACTTAACTACACTAAACTTAACATGTAGCCCAAATACAGCACAATACTCTGCTTTGTACTATCACTATTTCACTAGCTCAAAAGGCTTTGCCCTCTTGAGTCTTCTTAGCAGGTTTGTGTTGTCCAGGAGCTGGATAGCCTCGTCGTTCACATGGTGGAGCAGTCTTTGTTCATGACTACTGGCAAATTTGGCGATAGTTTGATCAACAGTATCCATTTGAAGGTCCCGATGGATGTCTCTGTTTCGGTAGTACCAGGGTGCATCGACGATGTTTCTTAGTACTTTGTTCTGAAAACGCTGAATCACTTGGATGTGGCTCTTACTGGCACAACCCCAGAGTTGAATGCCATAAGTCCAGGCGGGTTTCAATATTTGCTTATATAAAAGCAGTTTGTTATCTGTGGACAATTTAGAGTTTCGTCCAAGTAGCCAATACATTTTTTTCAATTTACTACCAAGCTCTTCACGTTTCTTTCTGACATGTACTCTCCAGCGGAGTCTTGCGTCTAAAGTCATTCCCAGATAATTAGCATAGGGAATCTGGGTATTGTTGAGTCTGATAGGTAGATATTGCTTCAGTTTGTTAGTAAAGTCCACATGTACGGACTTATTTTCGTTTAGCTTGATGCGCCAAGTATTAGTCCATGTGTTAATTCTAGTCATGGAAGTTTGAAATTTTTCATTAGCCTCTTCATGATTTTCTTCAACGGCCATAATTGCCGTATCATCAGCAAATGTTGCTATAGTTTCATATTCAAGACTTGGGATATCACTAGTATACAACAGATAGAGTACCGGACCCAGCACACTACCTTGTGGAACCCCTGCTCTGATTTCTTTTAGTTCAGAGTATGCACCGTTTTGTTTACTTCTAAAGTATCTCTCTGATAAATAAGATTTGTGAGTATTGTCGTGGTAGAAAACAGTTCAGTTTATGAAACAAACCTTCGTGCCAAACTTTATTGAAAGCCTGGGCAACATCGAGGAACACGGTGGCACAGACTTTTTTTTCTTCTAAGACTTTTTCAATGACGTTTGCGATTCTATGGACTTGATCGATGGTCGAGTGGCTGACATAATTTGAATTCAAAATCTGAAGCATACTCCTTCTGGGATACGTCGTTACCGAAAAACATTTTTTTTTCAAATGTCAAATATTTCCGCGAGTAATATCTCCTTTCTAAAGGATACTTTGCTCGTACTCCCTTCTTGTTTACTGCTAAGTTGAATTAAGGTATCGTTCTCCGTATGCAACCAACTATATCAATTACTAGTTGGTTTGATTGCTAGGAAACGTTTGTTCTTTTTGTTTCTATAACTTGGTTTGGTGTTGCTAGCTGTACTCGAAGTTTTTCCAATAAACTGCCTTTCCTTTTTGACGAGTTTCTGCTACAGAAGTCCAGAACAGCAACTCGATCTTCCCATTATAGGTATGAAATGAACCGCTCTAAGTTTTGTGTGTCCAATAGTGATCGTGCCAAAAGTATAGTGAAATTCGTTTTATCAACTTTTCCAAAGAACTCGGTAAAACACTTCCTTCTGTTTCACTTTCGAGTAGGAATCTAGAGTACAAAGAGGCCACCTTCACTACTGCTGTTTTGTGCACGGTAATATAAGAAACATGACGTTTCTGATAACATTTTTTAGTTGTAGATTATCTTCGATGTAGCTAATACGGCATTAAATTTATTTGAATAAATTAAATAAAGTTTAATGGTAGGGTTGGTATGGTAAACTACTCTATAAAATCAATTAATAATAAGCGCATTGCCAATCTAGCTTTAATGGTAACTTGTGATTGTTATACGATCGTATGTGTCCTTTGTGGCTGATATTAAATTAACCAGTCCCTTTTGTACAGCTTCACTTTGAAAACGTCAGTTAGTTAGATGGCAATTAAAATCTTTACGATTAGGCCACTGCATTTAATTTGAAGTATTAATTGGTAAGTGGAAATATATGCATGGAAAACTCGTATTAACTGAACGTGTAAAACAATTAAACTTTTTTGTTAATTTAGCGCTATATCCCTAAAAATTGATGGAACTGTCTATCGTTTAAAACGTGATTATATTTCGGCATCCCGTCCAAAGATGTTATTTATTTAACAACGTAGTCCGCCTTTCGGTGCTCAATTCCACAATTTTTTAAAGACCAAACGAGCGCATGCTCCGTTGGATCCGCCGCGCTAGGAGAGATAGGTAAGTCGTCATTCGTCTTTTTGTGCTTTTACTGTATGGTAGCGTTTTAGCTACTACCTTACGTGAGTAAGTACGCTCTGCGCTAATCGCGTTTAACTTTGTAGGCATGGGTGGAAAATCAAAAGTTAGCAAGAGGAAGAAGAAACTCCGGCCGCCTAGCAGCGATTCGGATGATTCGAGCTCTCATAGAGAGTGGATTAATCGCATAGAAAAACTTTATAATAAACACGTTCGCAATAAAAGGTCTCGATCGCGTTCCCGTGCGAGACGCAGAGACCGGAAGCGAACATCTTCGCTATCGCCTTCGAGAGGGACTCCGCAGTTTCGCGAGCCTCCTCAGTCACCCGGTTTTAGATCCTCTAGGTCCAGCAGCAGATATTCACGGAGGTCATCGTTTGAAACCGATAGGCGAAGTATATTAAGCGTAAGCGGTAACCCGCGCGGCGCCGCTGAAACAGCAGTACGTGACACTCACATTCCGTGCGATGTGAGTCACGCTGAAAAACAATCGCCCATTCAAGATGAGCTGATTATACACAATGACGTAGTTTTGCCGGATGAAATTTTAGGCATTCTAGGCGAGGACCCAAGCGCCGAAATTAGTTCGTCGTTTTCTCTACATTCAGCCTTGAGCGCACGCTGGTCGCACATTTTATCGAAAGGGCTGTCCGAGATCGACGTCGCCTCTCTTTTGGATAAGTGCAAAAAACCATCGAACTGCCCGCTACTAACACCCCCAGTAATCAATCCAGAAATTAGGGCTTTATTACCGCACAATATGCTGAAAAAAGACGCCGCTTACGTTTCTTTTCAAACGAAATTATCCGCTGGAATAATAGGTTTGGGAAAAGGCATAGATAAATTACTGAACGATTCGGCTAACCATCAAGATCTTCACACCTCTTCATTACTGCCTTTGCTGTCAGACGCCGGGAAAATTCTAAATGGTCTTTTTTTCGATTTATCGATGGCCCGGCGCAGCTTTATTTTTCCCTACCTCAATAAAAATACCAAGGACATTCTCGAACCATGCCCACCTTCCGAATTTCTCTTTGGATCGGATCTTTGCGAGAAAGTCAAAGCAGCTAAATCCTTACAAAACGCCTGTCAGGACCTTAAGACTGCACCAACCCCTCAACGCTACAAAACCACTAATCAGAGTGTTAGCTATAAGGGTAAGAAAATGGAAGAGGGGAAACAGAGACAACAGCCGTACAGCAGGCAGTTAAACAGATATCGCCCGACCCACCGCAGGGGGGTGGAGTCACACAAAGGGCATATCCCGAAGGCTCGACAGAGGGACAATTACCGGGGGAAAAACTAAATTCGGTAAGTTATAATCCTTTCGCAGGTAGACTTGCCCTTTTTCGAAAAGAGTGGGAATCAATAACGAGAAACGCAACTATTCTTGATTGGATTTTGGGCTACAAGCTACCACTTTCCAAAACTCCCGTGCAAACTTATCTCCCACAGGAGAGAACACTCCCCAAAAAAGACCACGATTCTATGCAAGTGGAAATTCTTAAACTCCTGCAAAGAGGGGCGGTGGTAAAATGCGAGCCTACGAAGGACCAATTTATTTCAAGTATCTTTCTGGCGGACAAGCCTAATGGCGACAAACGCTTTATACTTAACCTAAAGCGATTTAACAGCTTTATAGACGTTCCTCACTTCAAAATGGAGGACGCGAGAACGGTGCGTAGGTTGATCCAGAAAGATTTCTTTTTATCCACTATTGACCTGAAAGATGCATACTTTCTCGTAGCCATCGCTCCGGAAGATCGCAAGTTTCTTCGGTTCTCCTTTAACAACACTCTATACGAGTTCACTTGCCTTCCTTTTGGACTGGCTTCGGCACCTCATGCTTTTACTAAAGTTATGCGGCCAGTCGTGCAAGAACTTACAGCCAACGGCATCTCTTGCATTAACTATTTAGATGATTTTTTAATTTTAGGGGAAAACCGTGAAGACTGTCGCACGAAAACCTCTTCGACCATTAAGCTACTAGTAAGGCTAGGATTTGTAATAAACTGGGAAAAAACAAAACTAGAACCATCTAAGACGTGCACCTTTTTGGGGTTTGTTTTCCATACAGACACTCTAAAAATTTCGCTACCTACCGAAAAAAGGAACAAAATAGTACAACTGATTAGATATTTTCGAAATAAAAAACTTTGTAAAATTCGTGATTTTGCAAGTTTTATCGGACTCTTAGTTTCAGTATGCCCAGCTGTGAAGTACGGCTGGGTATACATAAAGTTCTTCGAAGCATATAAGCTAAAGGCTTTGAGAGAGAATAACATGGACTTTAATGCATCCATGCCCGTTCCGGAGTCCTCAGATTTTGATTGGTGGGAGAAAAATATCTACGGGGTCAATAATGACCTCACTCGAGAATCCTTTGATTTCGAGATTTTCTCGGACGCATCGTCCACAGGTTGGGGGGCATGTTGTAGGAACAAAAGGGCGCGGGGATGGTGGTCGGCAAATGAACAATTACACCATATTAATTTTCTGGAACTCCAGGCCATCCTCCTAGGGCTAAAATGTTTCGCTAGAGGTTTAAGGAATCGTGCTGTAATTGTCAGATGCGACAATACCACCGCAATCGCTTGTGTGAATCGCATGGGCAGTGTGCAGCACAGACACTTGAACAAACTAGCGAGGGAGATCTGGCAATGGTGCGAGGAGCGAAATATCTGGATATTCGCTTCCTATATTAACACCAAGGATAATTGGGAGGCGGATGCCGAATCTCGCGCTCTTCGCCCAGAAACAGAATGGTCCTTAGCGGACTCGGTCTTTGAGAAAATTAAAAGCAAATTGGGAATACCGGATATTGATTTGTTCGCCTCGATAGCTAATCGCAAATGCATAAGGTATGTCTCTTGGCAATCGGATCCAGAGGCAGTAGCGTGCGACGCCTTTACTCTATCCTGGAGTAACTTAAATTTCTACGCTTTTCCTCCTTTTTCAATCATCCTAAGAGTATTACAAAAAAATTAACACAGACAACGCTAGGGGTATCGTGGTAGTACCATACTGGCCTTCACAACCTTGGTTCCCGCTCTTTGTGAAACTGGCAATAGGCAAACCTCTTTATTTCGGACCGGACGTTAATATGCTTTTATCCCCTTACAGCCAGGAAGCCCACCCGCTTGCATCCAAACTTACCCTGGTAGCATGTCGGTTATCCGGAAAGCACTAACACTACAGGGTGTGCCGGTAAACGCCGTCGATACTTGTCTAAACTCTCTTTCGGAAGCTACTATCGCACAATATGGAAGTACATTCAGAAATTGGTGGAATTTCCGCGAAGCTTCAGGAGACGACGTTTTTCAGGCATCAGCCCAAGAAGTGATTTCTTTTCTACAACACATCATTACCACAACAAAATGTGCTTTCGGAACAATCAACTCGTACAGGGCAGCGCTGTCATTAATTCTACCAGGAAATCTAGGTGAGGATCCAATGCTCAAGAGATTTATGAAGGGGGTGGCAAGGTTAAGGCCACCAAAACCTAGATATAACTGCGTTTGGGAACCTAGGCAAATTTTTATTTACTTTGAAACACATCCAGCGGAATCTCCAAAAGCTTTGTCCATGAAGTTAATAACCCTCCTCACATTAGCAACGGGACAAAGGTTGCAAACCCTCTCCCTTATCAAAATATCAAACATCTTAACTTCTGAGGATTTAATTCAAATTGTAGTTCCAGACAGGATCAAAACCTCCAGGGTAAGCGGACGTCAACCTTGTTTAATTCTTCCCAGATTCAACGATCTTCCCCATCTCTGCGTTTTCTCCTGCCTACAGAGGTACTTACAGGAGACTGAGAAATTAAGAGAAGGCCAAGAAAATCTGTTTTTAACCTACCAAAGGCCATATAGAACCGCTTCAAAACAAACCCTGAGTAGATGGGTGAAGTGCACGCTGCAGTTAGCGGGCGTTGGTACAAGCATCTTCAAACCCCACTCAAGTAGGCACGCGTCAACATCAGCTGCAAAAAGAGCAGGGGTTTCTATAGATGTCATTAAGGACTCGGCGGGTTGGAGCAGGAGCTCCAACGTTTTCGCTGAATTCTACAACCGCCCTCTTATAGATAGAAGCGAGTTCGCTCATAGTATTTTCAATATGTAAAAGCAATATAGTTACTATTAGTCTTAGTTTTGTCTTCCTCATTAAAGATGATTTTACTTCGGGAAATGTACGTAATTCAAACTGAAGTAGTTATCTTTAAACATCCTACGTTGTTAAATAAATAACATCTTTGGACGGGATGCCGAAATATAATTCTACGATCAAATGAACTTACCTACCTGAAGTTCGATCGGAATTATATGAGGCATCCCGTCCAAAGATGTTACACCCTCCACTCCCTCCCCACAGTTTGAATTACAAAGCGATTTATTTAAACTAATGACGACTTACCTACCTCCTAGCGCGGGGGATCCAACGGCGAGCATGTGCTCGTTTGGTCTTTAAAAAATTGTGGAATTGAGCACCTAAAGGCGGACTACGTTGTTAAATAAATAACATCTTTGGACGGGATGCCTCATATAATTCCGATCGAACTTCAGGTAAGTTCATTTGATCGTAGAATTATTGTGTATCTCGCCTGTGTGACTATATTTTTTGTTTCGAACGGCGCGGCGGTTTCATTTAACAGGGGTTGTTCATATCACAAAAATATTTCGAATTATTGAAGTTTGGGGTAGTAGAAAGGTTTAATAATTGTACGTTAAAGAGAATGTTATGAACTTAAATAGACATAAAAACACTTCATTATGTCACAAAATTACGTTCAAATTTCATTTTGTTCAAATTAATATATCAAGATTGCCAATTACGGGTCGGTTTTAATTCTGTAGTAAAGCGCTATAATTAATTCACATTTATTATTAATTCAAATACATATTCTAATATTAATCAAGTATAATTCCATACAATTCGTTGGAAAATAATTAAACAACCTAAAATTAATTTCTCATATTATTGTCGTCGTTCGTTGTAATAAACATACCAGAATCAATGAATCGCTACATTATTTTGTTGTCCTGAACCCTGATTATTATTAATTAGTTTGAATAAATTAAACAGTGGCAACTTTAATGTAAAAACAGCTAATTATGAAATTGACAAACAACGAGCTTGGTTTCATGAGGAATGTTACGAAGGATATTATGAATGTGTCTTACACCGATAATTTTCCAACACACTCAATAATTATGGTACGTACTTACATAATCATTGCTGCTACTAAGTCTGACTAATTTTACGGTATACGCCTTCATCAATTCATCAAGCAGGAAATCTCATCTAAGCGATTCATGGCTGCACAAAATGAATCTTACTTCGGAAGGGTACAGATTGCGTGTAATCTGTTCGCATTTATATTCGCCTCTTCCGCTGTTGCATTTAATATGTCTCACAAATATCAAAGCCAAGTGCCATTGCTTGCATTCAGATTGGTTACCATTTTATTAGCTATTCTTGCGGAGGTAGCTAATACGTTTACTATAACAAATGCTCATTATCCTGCACATGTAGTAAGTAGGTACCATACTAATTGGAAACGGTGCATGAGAAGCGCACCTTAACTCACAGGGTTTAAATTATAAAGTCACTGTCTATTCTTAAAGATGATAGACGTCGCTTTGTTTCTAAGTTAATTTAAAAATATAAAAGTAGGGTTTTCTTTGTACATGAACAATACAAATGTAGCAGTGTCGTTTTATGTTGCATAAGAACATATTACAAGTATATGTAGTTTAGTAGCGATACAAAATATGCGGCAATGAGGTAAGTTACGTTTATACGCAATTAAGTGTTGCGACCAAATCGATAAATTTAGCCCAATTTAGTGCTTCTTAAATATATAATTAATTGCATTTGAAAGGGGTATGTCCTTAGTTTAAGACTAGAGATCAGCGCAAAGCCTTAGCTCCACAGTTAATTCCATTAGCAAACTATTGAAACAAAGTTTGAACTAAGCAAATGTGAAGTAATAGAAGCAGTAGTTATCGAATGAACAATGAAGTGAAATAATTACTTGATATGTACGTTCCATTGAAAGAGATCCCCTCTTACTGTCAAACCGACACGACTGATAGTTTGCATTATGAAATGAAGGATCCTCGATTGCTACCTGAATCACAATCTCCGTTTTGAACACTCAAATGCGTGCGAAATCGAGCCATTAAAACACAAGGTTGCTAAGTAATGTTACTTCAAATATGACTTATGAGACTGTCCTCTAGGACTGATCACTGAAATAAAAAATCCTCATGTCGATTTCTGCAAATGCAGAAATGCTGCTGTGGTTTGTACCTACCTATTCTTTATTTAAGCTTTCAACAAACGCGTGTAATTTAGGATATGCTGGCAAATCTGTTCCATTTCATTGTATTTCTATAGTAATGTAGGTATCGTACGGTTCTTTAATACGAGTGGAAAATTTAATTAAAGAATTAAATAACACGTTGCTTGTATTAAGAACAATAATTCCTCCAGTACCAAATCCGCCTTTGCTTCCCACCTACTTGAATTTGGCCATTGTCTTCAATCCGAATTCTGACTTGAAAATTTTGCACATCTGCGATAAAAGTGCGGAACTTAATTTCCTGGAAATCAAAGAAATAAGAATGATAGATTCAATCCTCTTTTTTTATGTGCATCTGCGTGTCACCGGATGGTTTAGATTCACAACTGGGTCAGATCTGAGTATAGGATTGTTCAAAAACACTTTTTTTTGTTGATGTCGCACTCTGCTGTTTCGCGTACCGTGCCGATGTGTTTACATTTTTACATTCTGTAAGCTGGGTTTCCGTTATCTTATCATATATTCGTCAATTGAGTGTAGAAAGTGGGAAATCTAGTTATTTTTGTATAAATAACTATGTTAGTATATCGAACGTTCAACTCCTCTAAATGCCAGTAATGATTACTTAGTCTCTCGCTCGGATAGGGATTAAAAAGTTGTGTTCATTTTGATTCTACATGCCCCCATAAGAGAAATTATTGAGACACGGGTCTCAGGTGCATCTCATAAATCTGGTTCTGATTGAGACGTTTGCTACGGTGCATAGCTTTCACACAGCAATTATTGTACTGTTATTTTCAGGTTCATTGAACGTGGCTATAAGACAATTTTGTTGAGAAATGTCCCGATAGAAGTCTTATTTTTTTTACAGACACTCTATGAACCCAGGTTATAGGTTGAAATAACAAATATTTGAAAATTTCATTATTAAGTAGAATCATAAGGACCGTCGTTGAAAAATTGGGATTTAATCTTGTGGTCACGTGGTGCAAGGGGGGTACTTTATAAGTTATTCACTTCGACGAGGTGTATAATTAAGTTGTAAAATTACTTAAGGTAAATTCTTTTGATCTTATAATTTTGTACTTTTCGCCTGGTGCAATATGAGAAACCATTATAATTGAAGTAGAGAGCTAATTAAAAAAGTACAAAAGGTTGTTAAAAATTAATAAGCCGCGAGAACAATGCAACCTGTGGAATAAAAGTAGCGATGTGCGATTGATTAGTATCGGAAGGTCTATTACGCTTTTTTGTTACAAACTAATTTTCATCAAAACGTAATTCATCTGTGTGTAGTTAATGGCATACTAGTCTGTGCAATTTAGTTTAATGTAGAGAAATAGTCGACAGAGATCATACACTAAATGACTTTGGAACACAGCGTTACTTTTGAGCTTGTTAACAAAGGTTTTCCTGTGCGCACCATTAGGAGAACTTTCCATTGCAACTTCAGCTTTGGACCACATATGGAACCGATAGATGTATTCACTAATGAACTGAAGTCCGTGTTCATTAATTTCAAACAGATAAAGTTTGATAGACGTTTTTAATCAAGTACTAATTTGTACTATTCACAAAGGAAGATAGGTAGCATACATACGCCGTCATCGAAAGCGTGCGCTTTTACATTCAAATTTGAGTCTGTTATTACTTTTACATACCTACTATAAATCACGTAATTAAATTTTATTTCTTTTCGACGCCAAGATAATCATAAAGAACTTAAACTTGCCTAATTTTCTACTAGAATTTATGACCCATATCTTTGCATACCTAGATTGCAAGTGGGACCGTTTCAAGTTTTATTCAACAAGGACAAGGAAGTTATATAAACTTACATACGGGTGTAGTAAACAAACCTATAAAGACTATCTAACATGGCAGAGACCCTCTTTCCGATGTGATGTACGAGAAAAGTTTTATAATCAGTTTGAGGTTCGATGCAAGTGAATGTA